ATTTAATTTTTACTTTTTTAATTTATTTTTTACTTTTATTATATATATATATATATATTCAGCGTGATAAATTTTTAATCAATTTTTACACTTTTTTAAAGATAGTATAAACTTCTAAAATTTTTATGAAATCTTAACTTAATTTAGTTTGATTTACATTTGTTAATATAGTCTACATATATATATTTCGATATACAATTGAACAGCAGCTTTTGAATTTTTAGTTTTTTTCGTGATAAATTTTTTCGTTTAAAATTACCGATGAAAATTCCTAATTCTTTACTATCTGTTTTATTAATAATAATAAACAGAAAAAGTTAACAGTTTTTATTTTCAATTTTACATTCACTCGTTTCTCACTATGCTTATTTTGACTTTAACTTTTGTTTCAGATTGTGTCCCTCGCTCTGATCGCCGTAGCTCTGGCCCAGCATCCACACCAACCGCACGTGGCCATCCTGAAACAGGCGCAGGATATCTCGCCCGAGGGATCCTACCATTACTCTTATGAGACTGAGAACGGAATCGTCGTTTCCGAACAGGGCGCGCCGCGCTCCGTTGGTCCCGACGGTACTCCCGCAGTCATCTCTGAGGGCCAATTCCAATACACCGCTCCCGACGGCACCCCGATTACCCTCCAGTACACAGCTGACGAGAACGGCTTCCACCCTCAGGGTGCCCATTTGCCGATCGCTCCAGAGGTACCCGAGCAGATCCAGAGAGCTGTCGCATACGTTCTAGCCCACCCACAACCAGAAAGCCAGAAATAAATAGTCCAGAAATAAATAGCAACATGACATTTAGCAACATCTCCGGACAACGGGTCGACTACTTCTCGAACTACACGAATAATAGATTAATTAAGGTGTCTTTTTGATACATAAATACAAACGTTTTCTTACAAAATATTTCGATTTTTATATTTATTTGCCAAATCCACTGTAATTTGTCAGAAAGAATAGGTCAGGTCAGAGAGGTTTTTTATTTTTTAGAGACATATTTTTCTAGCTTATATTCAAACAGCAAAACAATTAATTGGCACAATAAAATGTTAATGATCATATTATTTTTGTGAAACAATAATGACTGCTTTCATCTAGAACTTTATCTAGAATTTTATCTAGCTCTATTTAAATATAACAATTTATTATATCATAAGAACTAAAGAAGAGATCTATAAAGATTTTTTTACTCGAGTCTAATTTGTATTCGTATGCTAATGAATAAGCCACATTCTTCGGAGACACGTTAATTTTAAATCATAACTCTATAGGTCACGTAGATTTCGCGAGTTCTGTAGGAAGGTCACGATGAGATATTTTACGATGTCTTTTTATGTATACATGTTTCCGGCTGGGAGTCCCTGGCATTTATTCTTACGCAACAAGTACAACCACGTTACACCACCATGCCAGTTTAGCATTTTCGGTGACATGGAATTTCTATTTGTAGAGACATGGAGCAGATAAAAACGTCTGAGAACGATTCGACGTAAAAAGTACAGTTTTCATTTCACATTCATTCGATCCAATCCAATTCGATCTAAACTTTAAAGATGTTTTTGCAATTCCCCTCGGAAAATTAGCGTCTTTCAAGGAACTAACAGCCGCATTCTGCATAAATTGCCTCGCAATTTCCTTGGGATCCGGACGAAGAAACGCGGCAGATTCGCTCGATGAAGGAAAAAACGTAGGCGCGAACGATGAATATTAATATTATCGAGAGAATGACGGCAAAATTCATTATCGCCCAAAATTAGTATCAAGGCTAGAGTAGTCGTTTTACGCTCGATGAATTATGATATGATTTACAGATCTATTGTTACGCGATTATAAGCTATGAATAGAAGCTACATCAAGAAAACAACTACATTGTGCTTACGCTTGAATAGAGTTTCCTGTTTGAGAATATATTGCGAGATATCAGATAAAATGCAATATATTTGACAAGAAACACTCCAAAACTAAAATTTTTTCTCGTAAAACAGATCTCAATTCACGATTCCCGGTAGCAAAAATAGCATCATTGAAATAACGATAGTAATAGCATGACTAATAATATCATTTATACAACGGCCACTGTTTATCCTCGCGTGAAGAGAGCAATTAACGTAGATCTGATGACGATTAAGATGTAATTTTCGAGCGCGACATAATAACATTCTCCTGCAAATTCGGTCGTATCGTGACGTCATTTTAATCAACGCGGAAGATATTTCCTGGGAAACGCCTACGGCGTGTGTCGCTTGCTAATAAAATAGCAATAGATTTTTCACGTCTACTGGCGTGTATTGATACAACATTGTTTAGCAAATGAGACGGGTAAGATCGCGAGGATTGATAATACCTCGTTTTCCGTGTGACGTTCATCTCATGACACGCAAAGGTGGGAAATCATCCATTAAGATTCTTATCCCACTGGCTATCTCAATCCTATTACCGGCAATATGCTTCACGAGCGTAACGTACAAACTATATCGCCGTTAATCAAAATGCTAGATTGAATAATCAAAAGTTATAGCTAACAATGTTGTTGTTAAAAACATTATCTTCAATATTAGACAATAAATAATTATTATATATTGTTGCTATTAAAGTAAAATACATCATGTTTTACTGACTTTTTTATATTAATTGTTAATGCAATAACTTTCAATTTTATTATAACTTATCGGAATATATTTATATTTCCATTACTTTATTTACTTGTGTACAACCGGAAATGGATAGAAATATATATAATTACAATGCAATTAAAGCTCAAAGATTAATTAATATTAAATATTTAACTGGGAACGATCGTTTCCGGAGGAGCGTTTTATTAATAGATCGTAATTAATAGATTCTTTTCTTAACGCGATATGTTAATTGGCGAATGCCGGGCTATTCCTTTTTAGTGAGTGAGCGAGAACCGAGCGAGATTTTCTACGGGAAAACAAAAGCGATTAGCGGTAATAAGCGTTGACTGAGAGTGGAGAAGAGTGGAATTCCTTGCTCATTTTCACGCACGGATATCGAGACAAACGTCTCTAATCGTTG